CACAGTTCCAAACTGAAGAGACAGGAAATGCTTTAACCAGAAGCCACAGACGAGAGCTCAAATGAGCTTCTTCAGCCACCCTGGGCAGACATGATGCTCTCTGAGTCCATGAAAGATTTCATAAAGCTGAAACTGTCCATCAGAAGAGGGCTGTATTCCCCTCTTAGATATATTCATGGCCTCCTTCCATAAAAAGCAATGGAAACTCAATATACTCTTTAAAACAAATGCCAAACCACCAGAAACTTTTGGTTCATAAATCACAGTTACCTACTTGTAAGTAAACTTTAAACATTGGTTAAACTGAGAGCTATGCAAACCTTAGCTCCGAATAAAACTCCCCATTTCCCATTCTGACAACATCATCCAAAGGCGTGAGTAATGCTCAAACCCCACTTGGAAACATTCATCCTCTCACCCTCAGGAGTGCAGCATCAGGCCAAGGAGATCAAAAGGTGAAGTTCAGCATGGGCCTCAGAGTCTTCTTAGTAAGCTGAGGGGACAGAGGAAGAGGCCACCAGATCAGTGTCAATCATTAACCAAAAAGCAACAGTCTTTGGGAGTGATTTGTGGTTGCCCTCTGAACAATCAGCAAGCCTTCCTGGAGATCACGCTCCCAGGAGTCCACAGCATTTGGGAAGATTGGTTTCTGTGTTCTGAGAACAGGATCTTTTTTCGGGACAAAGTAAAGGACGGGTTTGTCCCCTTTTCCTTCATAAGCCATCTTAATAACTGTTATGCTGACCCGGGCCCTACCTGTGCACAAGGCGGAATACCATCAAGTGCGCAACCACAGTGTGTGTTGTACACTGACCTCTTGCCCGGACTCGTCCCAGAATGGCTTCTGTCCCTTCAGGGCTTATTACCTGTACCCTGCCCAGCTGTGTCCTGACCCCACAAAATGGTAGAGAGAAGGTAGAGAGAGTGGAAGACACACTGTGTTCTCGGGCCAAATAAAAACACGTTTACATGGCATGTGGTTTAAGCTTTTCTGTATCAGGGATCACTAAGGGTAGTGACTGGGACTGGAAACTTTTCTATGTTGTTATCCAAACAACCTAGTGTCTAACAGTGGTTCCCAACGTTCCTGATGCTGCGACCCTTTAATACAGCTCCTCATGTTGTGATGACCCCCAACCATAAAATTATTTTCATTGCTGCTTTATACCTGTAATTTTGCTGCTGTTATGAATCATAATATAAATATCTCATATGCGGATTATCTAATATGCCACCCCTGTGGAAAGGGTTGCTTTACTCCCCTCCCAAATGGGTTTTGACCCACATGTTGAGAACCCCTGGACTAAGAGAAGCAAAAAAAAAAAAAACAAAAAAAAAAACATTCCACCCAACCAGATACTGTATCTCTTTAGATACTAGATTCAAACTGAAAGTGTATGTATTGCCAAATGCTTAAGATTTACATAATAAATGTCACATCCTCTTTGGGCCAGCCCCTCTGCCCATTATAGCCAGTTCACTAAGGCCGGTGAAGAGAATCTCTAATCCCTTCCACCTAGAAACATGCTTTCACTTGGACAAAACCTTTCAAACACTTCAAATAGGTTGTTATGAACCTGCAGGTTCTGCCCAGCCATCACATCAAAGGTTGCTCTCATTCATAAAATGGTCATTCATAAATTTTAGTTTTATAGAGGTACTATGAGAATTACCTAGGGTATGCTATAAAATATTTCAATCTACTCAGATACATTTTTCCATAAAGGATGCAGTTTCATGTTTACCCTTGGTGAGAAAATATACCTTTAAACCCGCCCATCAAACTTCCTAGGAAATTTCCACCACCTTAGGGTACCACCATTCTCCATCATTGGCTAAAGATAAATTCATACATTAGATTTACAATGTCTTCATCACCCAACATATGCACCCTCCACCAGTATCCTTAGTTCTTCATGGGCCTTCAAGGCAAACAGACACTATTTACACTATTACCAAAATATTAAAACACCCTTCAAAAACAAACAAACAAAACCTGCCTTAAAATATTTTGCCACAAAGCAAATGTTATTATTTAAAACAGCAGACAACTCCCAAAGAAAGAATATGGGAAATGAACCAGTTGAGGGCAGTTTAGCACTCAAGAAACCTTTTCATGGGCTGGAGAAATGGCTCAGCAATTAAGAACACTAGCTGCTCTTCCAGAGGTCCTGAGTTCAAGTCCCAGCAACCACATGGTGGCTCACAGCCATCCATAGTAGGATCTGATGCCCTCTTCTGGCACAGAGGCATACATTTAGACAGAGCACTCATAAACATCGAATAAATAAATCTAAAAATAAAATAAAAAAACAGAGACCTTTCCATATTAAATATCAAATAATGAAAGTATACCTTTGTGTCTGAAGAGTCAAGTCACACAACTACATAAAAGCCAACCAGCCGTTTCCACAGCTGTAAGCAGCGATGATGCCCCAGTACGTGAGAGCCTCAGAAGAAGCTGATCGGCTTCCTTTTGAGGTTACATGATAAGGCGCAGCTAAGCCGCCTCTTTCTCTATAGAGCTCGCCGCCGTCTGACCTCGTGGCAGGAGGAGCCAACCCTCGGCCCCGGCCGCCTTTATAGCGCCGCCGCCGGCTCTCTCCCTGCCTGCTAAGTGGGCAGAGGGGGCGGGGAAGCCCAGCACGCCTAAAATACACGCTATGCTCATGCTCGGGTTCGATCGGGGGTGCGTGGGCACCGAGAAGGGCCTGAGGAGGCGAAGGGGACAGCGAGGACTAAGTTTGTGGACTTTTTCCGCACTCTGGAAATTCCCAGGGCCAAAAAGGTACCGACCCGAGCCCCGGACATTCCCCGCGCGGGCCGGCTCCAAGACCCGGACTGGAGCGGCGCGGAGGAAGGCGAGGCGCCGCAAAGCAGTCTTTCCGCCGCCCCGGTCCCGGTGCCCCTCCCGGGGATATAGGGGATTCGGCCTCTCTCGTTAGGGTCGCCTCTCTACGAATTTCACTTGGTCACTGTGGCTCCCTAGGCGTGCAGATGGAACTGTCTGGAGGATCACTTCCCCGCGGTTCAGCTTTGCGAGCACGGCCATCAGAACAGTGGCATCTCTGTTCGCAACCCGCATCACCAATGAAAGAGGGGTGGGAGGTCTTCACCGGGTGCAGTGCTGGCCCAGGTGACCGGGGAAGCGGGCTTGACTGCGGACCAGCCATTGCACAACACTCAAGGGGTTTCTCCTGACATCCAGTTTCACTGTTCGGTTTTGGAACACTCGCTACGGTGGTTTCGGTACTGTTTTTCATCATCTCCAGGCATTCGCTCTTACAGTCTAGTTTGTGATTGCATAGGAAACACCCAGGGTCCTTATTGGGGCTGTAAGAATGTTCATCTGCGTCCCAACTTCGGATCCTTAAAGCTCAAGAGGCCTGACGAGCTCTCGTTTGATTTAAAAAAACTAATAAAAAGAAAGGAAATTTTGTATGTGTGTAATGCATCTCGGTTAGCATTTTTTTAGAAAAGATAAATATCCTAAAATGAGTTTCTGGCAGTTCTGTCTCAGAGAAGCCCACACCAAAAAGTGTGGGGTTGGTTTGTTTGTTTGTTTGTTTGTTTGTTTGTTTGTTTCTGAGCGCTTCTTTTTCTTTTAATCCCCGTGCTTAAAATCTATATTTGCCGGGCGTGGTGGCGCACGCCTTTAATCCCAGCACTTGGGAGGCAGAG